GTGTGTGTGTGTGTGTGTGTGTGTGTGTGTGTGTGTGTTTGTGTAGATGGGGAAGCTGTGGGAAACTGTTTCTCAACCACAGAGGAAACTGAGTTGCATGATATATGTATTGGTTAACCTTGGAGATAAACTTGAAAGGATGTAGAATCACCATGGAAACAAAACCCTGGAAATGTGAGTGAGGAAGTGTTTAGAATTGTTTAACATAAGTTGCAGACCTATCCTGATTAGGAGCAGTGCCATTGCCTGGGATTGGATTCTGATCTGCATAAAGAGGAACAAACCAAGCAGTAGCCCTCATTGCAGTTTTCTGTGGAGACAATCTGACAAGCTTCCTTCAGCTTTCCCACCGGGACTTCTCTAGCACAGCCAACTCGACCCTTGAACTCTGGGCCAAAAGAAGGCCTTTCCTTTCTTACATGATGATGGTAGGGTCTTTTATCACAACAATGAGAAGGGTAACTTAAACAGCATAAAAATATCAACTTATTGTTACCTTATATTTTGTCAATGGCAGACAGTAAAAATACATTGACCTCATTGACATTATAGTCATACAGTTTATAATAATTTGATATATCTCTATAAATGTATAGATCTTAAGGATTCAAGGTAAAATTATGCTTATTTAAATGGTGTTTATCTATCTTTGTTTAAATTTGCCTTACTAAACCCCTCCAGTCTTCTAAACTAGTCACCATTTGGGCAACTTTCTCATTGTGTCTCATTGAAGGTTGCACTTATAAAAACAATGTCATTGCTAGTCATCAGGTAGGTATGTTTCCCTTGGCATGTAATTTTTCCAATTCTGAACCCTCAATAGTTTTAACTTTTCCTCTATCCTTCTTTACATTTTTTAATTTATTTTTTATTTTATTTTGAGCTGTCACAATTATACACAAGAAGGTAAGATTCATAAAATATTAAGTCATCAAACATCTAATATAGAGACAAACTGTTTGTTTTTATTGAGGGTCAAATAGCACTGTGTGTGTGTGAGGGGTGGGTACGCTCATGTTTGGGAGAGTTGTGCTAGACCAGTCAAGCAATCTACCAGCTGAAATGTGACATTCTCATCCACTGGTAACAAGTTTTACCTAATACTGCCTTTGTACATGAAAACATTGTTCAAATTAAAAAAATGTGAGTATGTCTTCCCCAAAAGATCTTTATTTATAGAAGTTAAAAATTCAGCTTTATATAATTTTCACCAATGTTACAAAAGTATTATTTTATTTTTAATTTAATCACTTACATAGAAAAGAATTTCTATTCAAGAACCATATTAGGAATAACAACAGATAGACTTTCCTAGAGGCAGCAACTCATAGGTAGAGACCTAAGTCCAATTTGAGTGCAGCAGTCAGGATGTCATTGTAAAAAAAGTATTGGGATATTTTATTTTACAAAACTAAGTAAGAGAGGCATATTTTTCCCTAAGAGGTATATTTTTCACTTTTATTTTATACAACATAGTTTCATTTCCATTCTTCATTTGTTTTGCTTATTCTTACTTCCTACCATCTGAGCAATTTATTCAGTATGTAGACAACACTTCACGGCTCTATTTTCTCTTCAGAAGCTCTTTCTTTTAACATGAGGCTTCAGTATTCAACATTATACTTTCAACTGGCCTTCACATTTAGAATCTTGTCAAACAAATCAACTCACAGACACTACTCTAATTACCCACAGGGGCCCATTATGTTCAATGTGACATCTCAGTCAGCCATTTTCTTTGGGAAAAATACAACTGCCCTAAACTACATTTAATTAGCATAGATAAAGTAAGTTTACTAAACAAGATTTAAGCTATGGAGTGTACTAATACCAAACTCAGATGCTTTAGTTATTATCTCAGAACCTGACTCTGTCACTTAGCATGTCAATGTTTCAAATGCAAAGTAAATGCTGTCTGTTAAGAAAGGAGCCCTACGCAGATGGGTTTTTCAGCAGTACTACAAACCAGTTGGTCTTCCCTTTGATAGCACACTGGGAACTGTCTGCTCTCTGTAATTAATCACATCTACAGCAATGTTTCTCATGTCCTTGTTACCACCGAGATTTATACCATGATCCAGAACTTCCTCAACTCTATCTGCTGCCAAATTTCTGAAAATATTTGTCCCAAGAGACTATGAAGTAGAAGATCAGTATGACTTAGTAGGTGTTGGCATGCTTTTGAAGACATAAAGCTATTTACTGTATTATTCCCTTTTTGGACATTTCCTTCCTTCCTAGATTTCCTTCCTCTGCATTCTGAAACTTAGTTCAAGAAACAACATAAATATTTCTGAATTCCAAACAATATAGTTATGGGTTGATACCTAAAGACACTTCCAGAAGAAAATTAACTTCTTCCTGCTACTTACTGCAACTTAAACAAACATGGAGTTATTAAAAGCTGCTTCCAGATTGTAAAGTTCAATTAACATGAGTTGCTGCACAGACAACTGTGTGTATACTGAAAATAGTAGTCAGTCAAGTCTCCTGATATCCCTCTGTGCTTTTGGATTCAAAAATATATAAAGCATAATCTCCTAATTTATAAATATATTTTAAATACAAAATTCTGTGCTGTAGATATTTTATTGATGTCTTATCTAAATGAGAAGTTATAGGATACTCAGATTTAAAGGTTAATCATATTAAATGATTCTATGTGATCTATTTTTGAAAAATGAATGATAGAATCATTTTTAATGTCATTTTATTATTAATTATGTGTAAATGTAAATGTATATCTGCCAGTGCACATGCAAGTGCAGGTATAGCCAGAGTCAAGAAGAAGGTGTCAGGACTCATGGAGGTGGAATTACAGGCAACTGTAAGCTGCCTGATGTGGGTGCTGGGAATCACATTTGGGTTTTCTGCAAGAGCAGTACATGCTGTTAACATTAAGCCATCTCTCTAGCCATGACAACTTGTGATTAAACTACTAAATTGAAAAATGTTAAAATAGCATCCTCCACAAGGATAAGAATTCTTGCAAATATTTTATGCATTTAAAGGGTCACTTCAATGAGATTACACATGTCATATTTTTAGTGCTAAAATTTTTCCAAAATACTAAGTGTAATAACAGAAAAATCACTTGAGTAACAAATCATCTTATACCTCAGGGTCCTCTAAAGCCGTTAAGGGTGAAAACACAGTTTTAGAAAGAGTCCTCACAAGTGGTCTCTCTGAGGAAAATGTGACATCACTGGCTTGCTCCCAGGGAGTGGTTTTTAGTAGTTGATCTTGGTGTTTTTAATGTGATTTTATCCCCCTCCTTATCTGGTAATTATACTTTGAAAATGGTAAGAGACACTTCTCATTGTTAACAGAAACAGCATTAAAGGAAAAAATAATGCTTTTAACTAAGCAAAGTCATTTTAACATTATTCCAGTATTACTTTTTATGTTTTAATTTTTAAGACAAAGTTACAGTCAGTTGTAGTCCATGCTAGCCACTAGCTCATGAGTCTCCTGTCTCAGCCTCCCCAACACTGGAATTACAGCTACATGTTACTTTACCCCAGAACTACACAGACTGTTTGTCTAGGTCATACTTCACAACTGTCCTGGATCCAAGTATTTTATGCAGGAAAAAAGTATATCAAAGGAAGATTATGTGGCATTAATTATCCTTTACTTTTTTTTAAAATTTTATCTATTCTTAAAAGTTTCTTTTGTTATTTTTTATTGCTCACCAAATCTAACAACCTCAACCTAAATATGTTGTAAAATAGTAAGAAAATATATTTATGTGTATATCATACATGTCCAGATACTTAAATACAGACATGTAATAGAGAGTGAATGTCATAAGTATATAATATACACACTTATAATCTTTACATAATAATTACACTACTTTCCATTACAGGGTATTATAAAATTTATAGATACTTAACTATTATTCTTTACATTACTTAGATAATGCATCCATGCTTCATTCATATTTTAGATGTTGACTACAATGAGAAAAATTCATCTATATTTTTCCATTGTGATACATTTAATAAATGTAGAATTTTACTCTCATTTGTCTGGTATTATGAGGCTTATAACACCATAGATAGAACTACATACAAACTTCTGTGAATGCAAGATCCCAGATCAGTTGAACTGTATTACTTACTCCCCTATGTTATTTTTTTAAGCAATACATTAACATTTCACAAGTTGGTTTTAATATCATACCTTGTGACTAATTACTATGCATAGTTTTGTCCCACTCAGATTATTTGCTCTCCTTTAGATTTTAGGAGTGAGATTTACTTATGGAGATAAAACAAGTGGACAAAGCGATGGTAATTTAAGATGAATATTCCAAAGCAATATGATGAGACTCTACCTTAATAACTGATGTCTCCACCCTGGATGGAGGACTCTGAACTTGCGCTGCCGCAGCCATATTTGCAATGGTGCTAAGATGGTTCATCTGGCTCATGGCCATGGTGACAGATGCTGGAGGTAGGCTTACAGGAATTAGAGGATGGGGCATCATCATAAAAGGAAGTTCCAGTCCTAAAAACAGAATACACATACATCATCATTGCTGTGTACCAGTTAAAATCATCAATGACATGTCATTACCAGTTAAACCATTGAAAAATATTCTAATAGTGACAGTCAGAGAAAGCAATTTGCTTATTTGTATACAGTAATATTCACTCATGACAGGCAAATAAAGCTAACTATCTTGGTGCCATAATTCATCACATCAGTGTGTGTGTGTGTGTGTGTGTGTGTGTGTGTGTGTGTGTGTGTGTGTGTTTACTACAAATACTCTGTTCTTGGCTTTATTATTCCTCTGGGCAATGTAACAATTTATAGGCATGCTATACTTTTCACTAATTGATGGTGTGAATGCAATATATCTTTTTATCATCCTGCTAATCATTAAAGAAAAGAATTTTTAAAACTACACTTTTAGTGCTAAAAATCGCCATCGTACCATTTGGCAGAAGGTGGCTGTGCTGAAGATGGTTGAGAGGATGGCTAACTGGAAGGCTACAGGCTGCAGGCGTGCGGGCATGTGTAACAGGAGCCTGAGATGCCTGGGATGGGGGAGAGTGCAGTGTTTCCTTATCCCAAGAACCACCACTGCTTCCTGTGGGAACGAATATAAATTATTTGGATATAAGATTAATCCAAATCATCCAAACACTAATTTTAAATGAGATCTGAAGAGGTTTAACATTAGGGAATTAGTAATTGGGCTTGAAAGGAAATGGGGTGAAGTAAGAAATTTTTCCCTGAACTCTATCTTTTCTTATTTCTTAGACAAGATGTAAGGTTTCAGCAAAGCAACATTTTTGGAACATTTAACCTACTTGTAAGGTTTAATCCTGGTTGAACTAAACAACTAAATAATAAGTTTTCTTTGTCATATAACAAATTCCCCTTTGAACCAAAGTAGAATGAATATTACACAATGCAAAGTTATACTTTTAGTAAACGGTAAACTGGACAACTTTTAAGTTAAAGTGCATGACTTAATTCTACCACAAGTATAAAAAAAATGGATTCATAAGAGCAGAGCACAAAATATCATTTTAGGAACCAGAATAACATCAAAGAAAAATGCCAATGGTGTGCCAATGACTACATCACTGCATTTCAAACTAAGAGAAATGTAATGCTTGGATTGGGTTAGTACCAGTGACAAAGCTAACCATCAGTTGAAGGACAGACACTTTAATATTCAGGACAATGTTAGAATAATCTAGGTCTTGAGATACTTAGTTAGGATTTCTTAGAAGGAATTTAAAAATCATGACTTTGAATAAATTTGGCAACATTAATACATTCCTCTAGAACATTTAAGTAAGAAATCATGCATTTAATTTTTTACCTTATGAGTTTATTTTAAAATAGATGAAACCATTATAAACATAGAAACAGCAAAGTTGGTAAAATTCCAATTTAATGCTTAAGCTCTACTAAAAGCTTTGTTGTAAAATCTCTACGATACAGTTTTCACTGAAGACTACTTAGTTACTGCCATGATATTTTTCCCTTTACTTCATGAAGACAGTTAAGGTTCAATATAAATTCAAACTCATTAGCTCAATACTGTCTGGATCTCAGAGTAAATTGTTCAGAAGTGGGTAATGAAAATTCAATTCAAATCTTCAGCAATCAAACAAAGCGATTTTATTAAACAATGAAACGAATCAATTAAAATGGATATCTTTATTATTTTACTAGAAACCATGACAGCTTTTAGTTTTAAAAAGTTTATAGCTTTATTCAGAAATGACTCACATAAAAGATATGTCTCCAACCTGCTCCCACACTCGATACAAAAGTTCATTTTCATATTCAAGAATTTTATATACCTTACACCTCTTACCCATGACTTTTTTTATTTATTCCAGGCAAATGTGATATAACCACATAAAAGTCAACTTTCCAAGGCATCATGCAAAGAGAATATTAGGATAAAAGACTTCAAATAATCTCACCTTGTTTTAGATATGTAGAACATAGCAAATGTAAATTTTGAGATAGTAACTTTAAAATGAAACAGTAAATAAATTTTGCTTGAATCGCTGTGCAAAAGTTTACAATTATTTTCCCATCTCTGTGGCACCCTAGTCTGCCAAATTCTTAGTATGGGAGCTGTCAGACTGCCATGTAAGTGTTTTTCTCAAGACGTTTCATACATGACATTGAATTTCTCACTAACTAGAGGGCTCTTAGCCATCTCCACCAATCATCATTTGTTAAATAATCATGATGTTAGCTCATTTAGGTAATAAATAGAGCAAACAATTAAGAACTAAGTCTGATGAAAAATATACAATATATAACCAAGTCAGGCCTAAGTGATTTTTGCATTATTTATAGCATACTCCTTCTCCATTAACATGAACAAATGAGAAATGAAAAGAGGCCTCTACAGAACAAGACATGCCTACAATTAGTAAAATAATTTCAAGTATTTTCATCTTTTACAATATCTATAACACTATAAATTATTATACACACATTATATATATATATATGTATATATATATATATTTACCTTACACATATAACAAACAGCCACAAATTTTTAAAATTAATAATTACTGTAAATTATATTTACTTGACGTAGAATTACATCAGATTTCTCCTCTTGTCCTTCCCTCCAACACCCCCAGCTCCTTTAAAATCTTTGCTGTTGCCTACAACTCTCAAGTTGATACCCTGTTTTTCTCAGATTATTGTTATGCATGGCTATGCACACACAAGCATACACATAGACATGTACAACCGGCTGAGTTCAGTTTCGCTGTGTGTTATATGATTCCAAGGCTGACCCTTCTGTTCTGGGCAATCAACAAAGGGATCATCCTGGAAGGGCTAATATTCCTTTTCCCAGCAGTCTTCAGTTGCCTGTAGTTCTCCATGTTGCAGAGAACTCCACAAAGTTTCCCTCTTCCACAATATGTCCACTGGTTTTGTCATAATTGCTTTTAAGACCACAAGGGAGAGCATTGCTTTAATAAGTAGGAAAATTATAGCATTTTAGTTGCAGGAAATAGAAATAAAAGGAAATTGATTTAGTTTTTCTAGAAGCACTTTAGTTTCCTGAAAGTCAAAATAAAAAGATGATTCTGATACAGCCCTTGCATGTTGATGGAGATAACCACTTAGGCATAACTCAAAGAATAATCAAAAATATAAAATGGTAAAACCCAAAGAAAGTATTCACAAGCTCCTCAAAATATTCATATTGCTCTCTTTTTGATCACTTAGAATTACCAACAATATTTTAATGGACTTGGTCAACAGTATTCCTCCCAACATTGGGCAGATCACAAGGGAACAGAGGCTAGATATTACAGAAAAAGGATGTGTGAACTATTAACATCAGGACTCAAGGGAAGTTCTTACATAATGAAACCAAGTGATCAAGCCATACCTATTGTCACATTTTTTTTAATTTTTAAATTCATAATAATATTTTACTTTCAGTTTCTATCTCAACCCATGGTTTAAAATTACAGTTCCTTTCTGAATTTACATGTTGAATTTGGAATGTTCACATTTCTATTCATTTCAGTTTATTTTTAGAAAAATGTACTTAAAATGGAATTTATAATGTAGCCATATTCCACTCTCTGAGAAGAAACCTGGTCAACTCAGATTTTGAAGCACAATTAATAGGTAAGTCGGGAAATAGAAAGTGTTTGAAAAATATGTTTAATTTCTCTTTAATAAACATGCAAACACGAGTGTATGAATGAATGGCACCATTTTTAACCCTACTATAAATAATTATTTCATTATTTAATCTATTCCTTTTGTTATTATACATACCAAGTAATGGATATATTCCAGAACAGTTGACTATATTATTTTCAAATGAGTTTTGAATAGAGTACACACAAAATAATCAAACAGAAAATATGGTGACCTATGAATATGTCTTTCTATTATCATGCATTAAATTAATAAAAGAATATTGAATATTATTATCCTTTATACTTAGGTGACATGGAATGAGTTGTTCTGATTTCCCACAGATTGACCCTGATAAAGGAGACAAATCTCTAAGACATTAACAGTCACAGCACTGGTAGGCGAGTGACAATGACAGACTGTGAAAGGAACCTGAAATTGTCAAGATTCTTTTACAATGAACATAATATCTAGAGTGGATGCTTACTACATTCCATTGGAGACCACTTAGGAGAATGTCAGCTTGATCCAACAGTGAAAACATGGCTACTAAGTAAAAGCAAACACTAGTCATGGGTTCTACAGACATTCAGCTGTTTTACCAGACATTAGAAAAATAGATAAATGATTTTTCAGTAGATACATTTCAATTGAATTGAAAATGACACATAAACTATTCTATGTTATGCTGGCTTTTAATGTAAACCTATAAACAGTCATTATGTGATTCATATAACACAGCCCTCCCTTCTTTCTGTATGTCTGTTTCTGTTCCTCTCTGTCTCTTTCTGTCTCTCTATCATCTATCTATAAGTATCTGTCTGTCTGTCTGTCTGTCTTTCTGTCTGTCTGTCTGTCTATATATCTATCCATATATTTGACAAAGGACAACTATCCACAGAGTACAATGTAAACCTTGGAAGCATAATTAATTAAGGGTATACTCTAAACTAGGTTATTTTATTCTTTCTGTGAGAATAGAGATCAAATCAGAGCCTTTCTTCACCTGTGCTATACCACTGAGCTACACCCCAGCCATGTCACTACATCTTTGTGACACTATTTACTAGACCATGGAGCTGAGAATCTTTGGAAAGTCATGGAAAACAGGAAAACCATGAAGAAAGATAAAATAGATAAGTTTTTAATTTTAAATTACTAGGAAATTGAACTCATGAGAAGTATTAGAATAAATATTTTATGCTGAGTACAGTTCTTCACATACTTTCCCTTTTTCATACCTAACTCCAGAAGGTTTTGATGCAAATGATAAAATAAAAAAGTATAGCCATTACTATCATGATAAAAGGTTAAGTAGTATATGTGCAGAAGAAAGAGGTAATTATATCAGAGAACAGGTTGTTTTTTGATGTTATTGCTGTCATAGGACTCATTAGCACCACACTGTCACTGTGAACCAGATGAAACAGATCCCTAAAACAAAGCAAAACAAATCCAGGCTAGAATCAGTAAACACTTCCATAGGATTCAATGCACAGAAAGAAAGAGTTACTAAATTCTTTTCTATTCATTAAACTTATGAATCTTGTTAGTATCTTGGACAAACTGATTGTAAGCAAGATCCAAATTATTTTGTTCCCTGGAAATAATGTTGAAAACAGATTTATTTAATTTTCACAGCTAAATTAGACCCTGTTTCAGGCAGTGACATACAAATGACCCTATGAAGTATATATGTAAGCCATCAATCTAAAATGTAATCACACAGTTCTTCAAAATAAAGTATTTTATTATAACATAGCTATTTATATTCTAACCTTTTAAAATACTAATGGCAAGGAATATCTTCCTTTTCCTATTTTAGTGTGGACAATTATCATGAAACAAACAAGGGAATTAGAAATATTTCTCTCTACCAGTTGTATAATTTTCCAATAGCTTTGCTATCATATCAAAGAATAGTGACAATTGTATTCC